CTTCATAACCTCCGAGGTGGGATGATGTAGAAAGTTCATACCCCAAAAGCCGTGTACCTTTCGGCTGCACATTGCTGGCTTGATGGCCACACCTACGGTAGGATGGGGATATGTGCGGCGCGGGGGTGTATGTAGCGATCTATGTAGCGATGTAGAGGGATGTATCGGGAAACAACCCACTCAGTGGCTTGCATTTTGGGAAGTAGGGATTTCCAGTTTACAGGTGTCATGAGTGCTTTTGTATCGACATTCTGTCCTTGTACAAGTTAGGATTGGAGGGTCGCTGTGCCACCGTCTGCAACAGATGTGACATTTTGAGACTTCAAACTTCGTTGGAGGTTTGCACCACCGTTGGTTTGATGTTTTCTGGGCTCCTGCGCCCCCAGCTAGATCAATGCCAACCAGCTAGTCTTTCAGTTACCTGGGGGGTTTCCCAAAATCAGGGGTAGCCTTTGGGGATCCCTGTAATAAGGGCGATAGTATAATTGGGGTCTATATTGGGTCCCTTAGTTTTGGGAAACTACCACTTACTGGATATGTGCATGGCTAGAGGCACCCAAGCCTAGACAGCGTCGACGTTCCAGACAACTTGCCTCGGTAACTCATGCTTGCTGTGTCCGGACGGGCGTGCAGAGGATCGGAAGCAGGCAAATTTATTGGTGCTGCCTGATTTTCACCGCGGCGAAACGAGGGTCGCTTTTTTTCTATAGCAGTTTTGACACAATCACAAATTTACGGCCAATTGTTGTAAAGACAACTAATGCGGAGGGTTTGAGGCCTCGGGCAGTAACCTTCGGGTGCAGCGGGGCTTGCGCAAAAAGCAGGGGAGAAAGATCACCGTGCCGACCGGAGAATTTGTAAGCTGTGCTTGAGGACTGAGTGGCTGAAGGATTGTTGGGTAGAAGGCACTGTGTCCCGCGTGTTCAGGTTCTTTATATACATAATATGATTCAAGGTGTGCATTGTGCATGTGCTACATGAAATCGTGGGCCTTGAATGAAAAATCGAGCACGCTTCGTTCTGCATCTCGCGGAGAAAGATGCAAAACACGGTGGTCAGGGGACATTGCTCCGTATTTGAAGATGTGCGAAAATCTCTATAAGTTTTGGCTAGAGGCAATCGACAGCCAAGAAGCCAGCGAGGGCACCTAATGGATCTTCAATATGAGGCTTCGTGACAGATGGGGCCTTCTGAAAATTCAAAACAGCTCCTATGCAATCCTTTCAAGGATTATCATTTCAGAATACCTATATCTGCTCCGGGTCCCTAGATCTACTGCTCCTCTTGAGAGCCCCCAGATTCAGGCTTTAGCAATGACCTCTTTGTCCCTGTGAGCGTCCAGGCAGATACCCTACACCTCTAGAGTCTACTATCATTGCCCTTGTTTGCGCTCTGTTCGTGTCATTGCTCTCGATTGAACGTTGACTATCATTTGTGATGGGTTTTGACATATTGCTGCCGCAAATGCAAGCATACTTGTCACTGTTGCCTCCCACTACTACTACTACTACTACTACCACCTACTACTACTACTAC